ACAGATGATGACAGGGGTGATCAGGTTCTTTGTTTCTCGACTTTATTTGTAAGCTAAGTCCTCAAAAGCACAGTTTTTAATCTTCATTTTTCCAACAGGGAGCTGAAGCTGGTAAACTCACTTGCTCAGAGCTTTCTCTAGCTAATGGTGTTCTAACGACATAACCCTGGGTAACCTGAAAGCAGACTCAGTTACAATATGTCTTTTCCAAGTTATGCCATATCTTGTTTGTACTTTTTTCCCCCAAGTGTAGGCTCTGAGAGAGAATGAAATGTCTCTAGTGCACTGCTGTATTTGGGAATACAGCACGGCTTGGGCTGAGGGGAACAAGCAGAGCTATTAGTTTGTTCCCGGTTCTATGACAGAATAGCATAGAGTAGACTTTGTATGAATAGTAGAAATTTAATTTCTCAGGATTATGGACACTAGGAAGTTCAGGGTCAAAATGCCCGCAGATTCAGTATCTAGGAAAATTGTGCTCTTTTTTTCCAAGGTGATACCTTCTCCTTATATTCTCACAGGGAGGAAAGCAAGGAGAGATAAAGCCATATGCTCACGTGGTAGAAAAGATGGGCCCAGCAGGTCTCTGGGACCTCTTTCATCTTTTAAATTTTTACTTGTTTATTTATTTTAATTCCAATTATAGATATTTTGTTGGAGTAAAGCACATTAAAGCAAATCAATTAGAAAAAGATGTGTGTCACAGCAGGAAAACATTTGCAGTTATCCTGATAACCCCAATGGCTTTGCATTTTTCAAAGGCAGTTTCAATGCCATAGAAACACTACCTATGACTTTAAAATAAAGAATGTGAGATAGGACCACATCAAAGCACACTAGTGTCTTTCACCAGAGTGGATCGCTCATCACTTAATCTCATCCCAGGAGGCTCCACCTCCAATAACACACATACAAAGGGCATTTAGTTTCAGCATGAATGTTTGAAAGATCCACACATTCAAATTTTAGCCATGGTCTTCTCCCCTTCCTGATTCTGAGTGATAGAAACCATCTGTTCCTTCCATACACAAGGTCTGAGCAAATTCAAACTTTTAGGAATCCAGGCTAAATCAGGAAGGGCTTTGAGATGGAACACAAGAGATTCCTTCCTGCCAGTGCCAGCCTTCTGACTTGGAATGTGCACTGGACACCAATTTAGATGAAGAAATGGCCCTGAAGTGAAAATAAATCACTTCATGTGGACTCATAATTCAACCCCTAATATCTAAAACTGACGAATTTCTTAGTTCTTTACCCCTTTAATACTCCTGTCCTACTGCAGATGTTTATATGCTATAATTTTCTGGGAAACTTATTCATCCACTCAGTAACTTTTCCATCCTTTTAACATTTCACTTCCTTGATTAGGGAATTTTGAAGCAGTTTTTTTGTTAGTAGCTTTTGTCTTTGAAAAAGACAAATAGGAGTGCTCCAAACTCAAGAAGTAAAGAATAATATAATCATAGCATCTCATTATTTATTTTAGAGCTTGATCTTTTTGAAGGTTATTTTCTGAAGTTGAATACTAATAGATTCAGGCTGTCTTTATGCAGAAGAAATCTTAAGCAACAGTGTTCACGGAGAAAGATATCAACCAAGAGAAAGAAGTAAGCTTTGTTCCTAATAATGTTTGCATAATAGCTACCCTTGGGTGTATTGCTTGACTTAAAAATAAATATTTATGCTTTCCATATTCAGCACAATGGAAATGATTTGTGGTCATGATTCTGTTACATGATCCTCTACCTGTTTGTTGGGACTTTGAGCCGGGAGCCTTTTGGAAACCAGCAAACGTAAACACTAATGTTTGTGAATGGCGTGGGGTGGAAATTGAAAGCGACTGTGCTGTGGGGAGTCTGGGGAGCGAGAGGCCAAGATCAGGCCATCAGTGTGTTTTCAGAGGGATGGAGCAGGGTAGCACTTAGATGCTTTTATGATCTGCCTTTACCTCCTCAGTGGCTTCTCACCATGACCACTCTCCACCTGCCATGATGTGACAGCGCAGAGCACTTTGCAAGCTCTCACAGGCAGAATGACTTTCCACTTCCCTTTCTTTGTTCAAAGACATCCTTCATCTTACAAGGATTTCCAAACCTGCTCTGCCAATTAATTTCATTTTGCATGAATAAGCTGCCTTCAACTTCACCTCCTCCAAGAAGCCTTCTCTGAATTGCACCACTAGCCATTAAGGTTTCTTTTGTTTTGTCTTTTTGGTTTTTTTTGTTTGTTTGTTTTCCGGTACAGGAATCGAACTCACGACCTTGCGCTTGCCAGGCAGGCGCTGTGCCACTGAGCTAAATCCCCAGCCCCTGTTTTGTCTTTTTGAGACAGGGTCTCGCTATGCAGTTCGGGCTTGCCTAGAGCTCACTTTGTAGCTCAGGCTGGTCTCGAACTTGCAACGATCTTCCTGCGCCAGCCTCCTGAGTGCTGGGATTACAGGTGTGCGCCACCACCTCCTGTTTAAATTTTAACCCAGCCCCTCTTATTGACTGATGGATTGAGATCCTTAGTAGGCGTCATCCTGGAAAATTCTTTCATCATCTTGATTTATTCTCTCTGTGCACCGAAATTTATTACACAAGTCCTTTAAATTAATTAATTAATTTTTCTTTTCTCTCTCCTGTCTTTCTCTCTTGCTCCCTCTTTAACTTGAGCTTTTGAATCCTGAGAGAAGTTTCAGTACATTCTTATAAGCAGGCTGTGGTAATGTTTTGAAAGTGTAGGTCTGAGTTCAAAAGCTTTGCATGAACTCTGTCCCCTGGGACAGTCACTTCACTTCTACTGAAGCCAAGAGATAGCCCTGTAGTATCAGCGAACAAACCGGTTTATTCCCCTAGAATTCTGATGGATAATGTTGTCTCCAGGCTGTCCTTCCCTGGGTACTCATGTGGAGTTTATATCATGAAGGGAAACGTCATCCCATTAGCTTTTTTGTCTGTGCCTTTCATTGGAGTCTGTGTTAACACAGATGTATCTGTCCAACTTCAAATCCCAAGTTCACCCTCACTGCCTCTTATGAACGGTCCCTACACATTTGTTCATGTACTTATACGCAGTCAGGCAGTACTGAGAAGTATTCCTTCTGTTTCTATAACGCACTCACTTACAAAGCACTTTTTAACCTTTGATCCTCATTACAGAGGTGAGCAGTAAAGCTGTTATTCTCATTCGCCAGTGAGAAACAGGCTGAAAACGCTGAGTAACATCTTAAATTATGTGCTCAGTAAATTACAGAGTTCAAGTTAGGCCCCAGTCTAGCACTTTTTCCGCAGTGCTATAAACCTGACAACAGCGTTGCCTGTCACCTTCTGCAGGCCTCACCAAGCCTAGTGGTGCTGAGCACACAGCAGCACTTGACAGGGGCGGGCTAGACACAGGGACCTGCTTTGCAGTGTGACAAGGCCGCTGCTGGCTCTGTCCCCTGGGGCAGTCACTTCACTTCAAACTCCAGGGTCTTTGCATGCAAAACAAGAAGCTGAAACACAGTATTTTCTCAGGTTCTTTTGACACATAACATCTTACTAATTCCCTTTCTGTTATTCTCATCCATCTCCCCTTCTAGTTTCTTTTCTGTTTTCCTCCTTTCCAGCCAGCTCTGCAACTCCTTGGTTAGCTTCTGTACTGTCACTGTACCAGGATTCATAGGGGATGAGAAGCATGCAGATTGTAACCCGTATATCTTCCAATACAGAGGAATCTTTCCTCCTCCCGTGTCTCCATTTGCATCCATTCTTCTGCCTGCTTCCTCCTCCTCTCCATGTTCGGGCAGCTTTCTCTGTCACCATAGCTTCCAAGGGCTCCTGCTTTGTCTGAGGGCTCAGTCCAGTGTCCTGAGCATATTGAACCAGCCATAGCCTGCGCATGTGCCCACCCAGGGCTCCGGGGTTCAAGAGAAAACCCTTAGGACTGTGCTGAGTGACAGCCAGGAGTTGTGTGTACTTTAATGCTGCTGTACTTTAGGGTAACACTCAATGAGAAGTGATCCGAACAAGGAGAATAAAGTGTCACGTTGTGAAATTAATTTACACTATTTTTCTTTGAAAATTGCGTGAGTTTAAAGCCTACAAACCTATTTTTTGAGTAGTTTCAGAATGGAGATACTTATTTTTCTAAAAGAACCACGTTCACTCTGATACTAATAGTTCCCCTTAGGAGCCATGGTCACCAGCAGGCATGCATTCACATTTTTCGCTTTGTCAGTCGTATTTTCTTATTTCTCTTCTACAACCCATGTGACTTGCCAAGTCATTAGATATTTCCGTCCCCACAAGGGTACACATTACAAGAAGTTTAAGCTATCTAAGACATTCAGGCTTCCTTCAGTAGCAGTTATCTGTCAACTGAATACAAAACACATGGTTATTCTCTCTGGAACACAATTAAAATAGACTTGTTTCCTCTGTGTTGTCTCTTGTCCCTTTAATATCCATAGCAGCGAGCATTTATTTATCATTGCAAAACACACAGTCAAAAGGAGTGGTGATTTCTTAAACTCCGAGGAAGTATAGGGAACCGGAAAGAGCAGACACCATCACGATTAGACACCCACGCTACATCAGTAACTGGCTGAGGGGCATTCATTGGAGTTCGGGAATACTTTCGGGCCACCCTACAAGGTTTAGACTTTCTATTTTAAAGTTGTGGAAACTGAGGCTCAAGGAGTTAATGATGTACCCACTGTTCCATAGTTTGTAAGTGTCAAAGATAAGAATTGAATCCAATTTGTGTAACTCTAAATTTCCTGTTACTTTTCCTGTACCAGGTCCTTGGGGTGGGGAATGGTCTCAGAAAGGCTTGGCTTGATTTATCAGGTTGTTGTCTGGGTAGAGTGATTGAAGAGGGGGTTTTGTCTGACCAAGATTCAACCTTTTAGCATGACTCCCCTTCCCTGGTTTCATCCCTAACCGAGACTACATCTCCAAAATTTGGATCTAGCCTTTTGTAACATTTTAATGAGAGGGTCTTCTACTAATGGGGCATCTCTCTTTTGTTTTTCACAGCCATTTTGCAGGCAGTAATAGCTGGTGATCTTATGAAGGTAAGATATTCTCCTACCAAAACTTTGGTGATTCTTTAAGAACTTTAAGTCAACATTGTGCCTCACCAAATGTTCAAGATCAGGTATATCGCTTCTCTTCCCCCTTCTGGCACTGTCTGAGTAGAAAGAGGAAGGATGCTCCTGAGAGGTGAGCAGAGAGAGTATGGGGAGCCCTCCCAGCGTGTCTGCATTTCCTACCAGCAGAGGGACTGTGGAAGAATTCCCTGGATTTGCCTGGCTTAGTTAAAATGGAGCGCATATCCTAGGATGCAGTGTGCACAGTGCTCAGAATTCCTGCTGTGTAGGAGCTAATATCTGAAAAATTTAAAGTTTTTCTTTTGGGCAGGTATTGGGATGAATGCAACTACAAGAATTACCTGAGCCATACCTAAAAATGCATTTTCTAGGTCAGAGCTCACAGCTTCCATTATGATAGTGTTGTCACTTGGGGATCATAGTTAACCCAAACAAGACTGTCCAGTTCATTTTGAACGTTTACATTTTTTCTTATATTTTCTGGTTAACTTAGTTGAGGGAAATTGTAATGATTGTCTTGAGAATGAATGTAAACTCTCAAGTCAGACTCCTGGATTCAGATCTTGGTTCTGCCATTCAAGATATGTGTGACTTCATATAATTAATGAATTCTCTCTATGCCTCAGTTTCTTCATCTCTAAAATTAGGTGATAATAATAATAATAATAATAATAATAATAATAATAATAATGTTACCTCATATCTCTGATTTGTCATAAAGTTTTAATGTCATCATACATCAAAACTGTTCCAATATATGGAAGGGGCTAAAAATGTTAGTTATTTTATTTATGTTATAGTGTTAATCTGTGTATTATAACAATTAAACATGATAGGGGTAAGAATATGTTTGTATAAAATAGTCTATGAGTATTCCAAAGTATTTGTGTGAGCTGATGTCATTTTCGGCCATGGAGTCTCACGACTGTCCATCCGTCCTTGTATGACTTTGGTGACCTTGATCTTCCCTTTGAGAGTAGCAGCTGCCTCCGGGTGTGTGTTTGCCCATCAGGATACCCAGCAAGAGGGCAGTATAGACAGAAACGTGAAAAGCCTCAGAAGAAAGCTGAGAACTACCACCATCTTCTTTTTTACAGCACATAGATTAGTTTAAACAAGGAGCACCTGCGCTACATTCGAAGTGGGTAGAAAGCAAACATGGAGAAGGGGCAAACTTGTTGAGCGACTTGCATCTGTGGGCACATAGCTCTGTCCGTGGTGCCTCTGCCACTGTCCAGGTCACAGTGTCCCTGAGAATTGCTATCCAGAAGAGGAAAGAGCTCCCTCAGCTTGGCTGTTTCCTGGCAGCGACAAGCAACGCCATGCTGTTCTCAGAGACTTGTGTGTTAGGTCTGTGTGAAGGACAGGCATGAGCAAGTCTTGGGAACTGTACAGCCAGACAGTGTTGCAAAGCACCGGACTCTTGAAACCCTGGGATTTTGTTTTCTGTCTTTAATGCAGGCAACCGGTCTTCCGGATCCCTGACGGTCCCCATACCATTCTTACCCTTAACATGCGAGTATTTGAGAGATGAGAAGTTATTATGCCCAGCTGGTTGTCTTACTATGTTCTACACTATAATTATTTCTTAAATGGGAAGTTAAGTTAGGAACTATCTACCAAGAGAAGAAATATAGGGGCAGAGGGTTTTGCTTTTTTGGACTCGGACTCTTCCTTTTCTTTTGTAAAGTCTGTTTCTGTCTTTTCCTTCCCAAGTATCTTTGCTCCCTTATCTTCTTTCATTTCTCTCCTGTGTGTAAAACATAATACATTATGCATGAAAAGAGATGGTATGACAGAGAGAGAGAAGGAGAGAAAGAGAGAGAGAAAGAACATAAAGCTAGAGGCTTGGGAAGAGCAGATTCCCCAGTCCGCGTACGGCGCAGCTGGCACAAACGGCCCCCGTGCAGGTGAGCTGCATAGGTGCTGGGAACTAGCTTCATATTCGCAGCAGCAGAAAACTCCACAGAAATCCAGGATCAAGGCAGCTGATCCTGACAGGGTCTGGCTGGGTCTGCGCTCCCATCCTTTGTGGGAAAGAGAGAATCCCATCCCCAGAGAGAGAGAGAATCATGTTAGACCATGCGCTCCCATCCCCAGAGAGAGAGAATCATGCTAGACCATGCACTTGAGCAGGACAGCATTCTCCTTTGCAGCTTTGTGGAAGGGCATTAGCTACTTCTTCGTGTCCTCTTGCCCACAGCTTAGGGATGAAAATCCTCAAAGCTCCTGACCTCCATGCAGCCCCTCTTCTTCCTCTGTCTCTAGGCAGCCTTCCATGCCTTTTCCATGAATGGCTCCTCGCCTGCCCTGTGCCCCTCTGATAACCTCAGGTGTCCCTGTTGCTTACATTTCTGTCTTCCCTACTGACAGTGCGGCTTTTGAGGCCTTGACTGAGACCAAGCCATATTTATCTTTGTTCCTGCTTTTTTTTTTTTTTTTGCTTACAGCCTGCTAGCTTATTTGACTCTTATTCGTCCTTGGACTACCATTTAGAAGCTCCACAAAGTGTTTTCTTGTCTCAATGTATGACAGTATAGAGAATAAGGACCCATTTACACTTTTTATGGTGGTCATTATTTCCTGAACTGCAGACTACATCCTTACGTAGCCACCTTCTTCGAAGGCTGCTGGATTCTGCTCTTTTCCCCCTCATTCTTTCTGAAACAGAAATAGCTACATGCTCTCCATCATTTTGTTTCTCATCCTGCGCTTCTAGCCTACTTGGGTATGTTAGGGTGAGGTATGGAACACATCAATCCAGGGAGCAGAAATGGATGGATGAAGAAAGGGCAGTGTATGTGTGTGTGTGTGTGTGTGTGTGTGTGTGTGTGTGTGTGTGTACCCATGCGCGTGCTTGTGTGCAGAAAAATAAGAAACAGCTCTTACATTTGGTAGTTATGTTTGTCAGAGATCAAAACACAACTAAGGGCACAAGAAAGTAGCTTAACTACCGGACACAAAATCTTCCTGCCCACTGCCGTAATTATTCTCTCACTGGAGAGAATCCTGAGCCAACCTAGGGAAGTTTTTGTTCTCTTCTCGGCCTCTTTATCCCTTGGGGTAGAGAGGGAGAAATGCACAAAGCCATTCAGCATGTTTTGGTTTTTTGCTTGGGTCACTTCCTACCCACAAACCCTCTCCGGAGCTAGGTGAGACCCCGACCATCCATATGAGCTATAATGCGGTCCAGGAATGATACTTCATCTCTTCGACTCGTCTCCGTCCTCTGAGGAGGGAAACATTTGTGGTTTGCTACATTACTCTTATTTTATGACCCAGTAGTTATTACCTTTGTTCTGGATTCTGCCTGAGCATTTTTCTCTGTGTTTCTCTTTCAGCTAATAGAAAGCTATAAAAATGGAGGCAGTCTGCTAATTCAGGGACCAGACCACTGTTCACTCCTTCACTACGCAGCTAAAACCGGCAACGGGGAGATTGTGAAATATATCCTTGACCACGGTGAGTAGGCGCGATGGACTTACCAATGGCCATTTACCCACGAAACAAATGGGTTTTCCAAGTTGACACGCATACAGGCTATCTTTGCAAGGCCAGAGACACTCACTTATCTTTAGCTAACTCCCCCTGCTTATTTGCAGTGGCTCGGTTTGCAGACCGTTGACAGTGCGACATCTTACTCAGACATTAGTGGAAGCCATGTTTATATTGCGGTCTGTACAGGCAGTTGGGGGTTAATTAATTTAAAACATAAAGGACAAAATCAAATTCAGCCTGACAAAACGCGCTTCATTTTTGTAGAGCTTTTTTATCAGTTAAATCATCTACTTATTCCATTTTCATAGTTAAGCATTCAGAGGATTTATGAGTATTTTTTTTACATCATCTTTCCTATCTTTTCATTTTGCCGTTTGATTGCCATTCATCTGTTCCACCCAAGTCATGCTTGATTCTGTATGCAAATGCCTGGTGGCATTTTGTCCTGTATGGAAGCCCAGACTCACCTCCCAGAATGTTTCCTGACTATATTACTGATTTAGGGTCAGATCATTTGCTTGGATGTAGCAAGCACACAAGTGCTTCAGCATCTGCCTCTAAAAGCCCATTAGACCTTAAACAATGTGACAGAGATCAAATCTTGCATATTACTTTTGGCTTCTCATGTTCAGAGTGTTTCTAGAAATGAAGAACAAGCTAAGGGCGCAGTGGTGTTTGCCTGGCTTGGCTGTTTGGAAGGGAGAAGAGGGGAAGGGTGTATCTCTGCTGGACCCAGACATGGGGCTCCTGAGAGATCTGCGTCTGTTCACGCTGCACCCAACTTCCTTCTGCAGATTGTAAGCACATTAGTTCTCCTAGAACTCCATCTTCTTGGTCACTTTCAGTCCTTTCACTAGCTCGCCATTTACCCAATGAGAATGGATGTTCATTCACAAACTGGAAGCCACTCAGTGCCCTGTCTGGGGTAAGGTGAGATGCTGGTCATCTATTGGAATGACAGCACAACCCATGCATCAGTTTTCCTTGTTCTATCTCAACCTTTCTTGAATAAGTAGTATTTCGGCTCTCGTTCTAGGGTCCTGTATGCAGCAGCCTTGAAGCTTCAATCTGTCTCTGTTTTGACCCAGGCTATATTTAAGGTTAATTCTCTCAAACATTTGGGGTTCCCAGCTGTTTCCTGGAAAAGTCAGGACACCTGAACCTTTCTCTCTATTTGATGTTTTATTGCAGGCAGCTTCATAGCATGGTTGTTGGGGGGTTCCATGCTTGGGGGGTGGTGAGAATAGAAGATGCCAGATATCCCAAAGCTAGCCAGGGAAGCTTTGCATCATCTCCTCTGCATTCTGTTGGCTAAAACAAGTCCCAAGGCCAGTCCAGACCTGAGGAGCTATGAGACAGAGCCGGCTGCTTTGTGGAAAGAAAATCACATGATTCACAGCCCTGCGTAAACTCCCTCCTGTCGTACTGCATTCCTGTACTCCGGTGACCTGATCATCTCACTCACCCAGGCTGCCTTGGAGTTCTGCCTTTCTAGAGGTTGCCAGACTTAGCAAGTAAAATAAAACATAAAAACAATGTTCTTTAAGCATAAGGATATCCTATGCAATATTTGAGACATACCTATACTACAAACAAAAGCAAAACTGAAATACCACCCCCGCTGAATCTCCCCAGGGATGTGTATGAGGAGAATATCTGGAACGATATTCCTGAAGCACCGAGGCTCTCCACTTTCCTCACTGCCTCTCTGTTCTTTGCCTCAAGTTGTAAGGGCTTCTTGAAGTGCCTTTAATCTAAACTCACAGGGCTTGGGATGCTTCACTCCAAATGCAGATCAGTGCACACGCACTTTGTCTTGCCTCAGATCCATCCGGCATGTTGGTCTCTTAGAGCTTTGATCAAAGCCTGACCTTCCAATAGGAAATGAGTTTTTTTATTGACCCACAGTGTTCTTTTTACAAAGGGTGAATCACAATCCATCTCTTTCTGCCAAAGGCATGAGACACAAAGGAATCCATTCAGAAAGGTGTATACTTTTCCAGTGCTCTGGCTAGATTTTGTAAATTAGTTGGCTTGATATTTATACTCATGAGAAAATGCTGGAGAGTCCCAGTTATGGTCCCTTCACACACACCGTTCCCAAGGTCTCAGAAGGGTCCCTTCCCGTTGCTGCCTCATCAGAGCCTCTACTTGGCCAGTAGATGTCTGAGAGACAGACAGCCTGTGAGGATAGTAAGATTAATCTGGCTCTTCTGTTTGCAAATAAAATCTCATCATGCTCCACAGCCTGCGTTTTTGGTGGATGGCAATTTTTAACTTTTGCTACTATAGTGGAATAACGGCAGCTCGAACGCAATCAATCTTTATTGAAATTAATTTTTATCAACCCGATAGGCCTTGTCAGTTTTATTTTTATCCTCCTTCTCATCATTTTTATTCACTCAGGAATATGGAAGTAAACACTTTAAGTATAGCCAAATTCACCTGGTTCTGAAGAGCTGAACACTTTAGCTCAGTTGTTTGTTTGCTTTTTAGTATCTTTAGTTGCTGGTACAATTTATATTAGGCTATGCATTTTGAAACTGAAAACTATCTTTGCGGAACTATTCACCTCCTTTAAATTATAGAAAGCCCCTTAAATTGCAGTGTTGTTGAATACAGGAACAAGTAAATGGAAAAAATTACCCTGTCTCTTCTCTGTAATCACCTTCTTCACATGGTCTCTGCTGATTGGAACAGTCTTCCCTCACTTAGCACTTAGTGACAGGGCTAAGCCAGCTCTGGAAGTTCCGCTGGCAGAACAACCACCAAAACATGCTGGGTCTTTTCAGAGAGGCCTCAGGGTGGCTGGGATCTAGGGAGGTAAAATGAGATTGTGGTGATATGGCTGTAAATGAGGTTTGCAGTAGGAAAGTCTGATCAGCTTGAACTCCTATAAACAAAAAACTAAAACAGTGAAGTTTTATGTTATTCAGAAGAGCAAGAATATACTCCTCCTAATCATTGAATGCTGTAAATCTCTTGGGTTTATTGTTATTATTATTATTTTACAATTTGGTTCATGTCTTTTCCATGGCCTCAGATAACATAAATCCTGAAAACCGCCCAAACAGTTATACTCATTATAAAAATGTCTTTGCCCACAGTGACTCAGGAACCAGTGGCTTCTTTGCAAGGTGCATAACTGATGTGCTATGTGGCCTCCAGCGAGTGCCTGCTCTCTGCACCCTTCTTCCCCCAGTGCCCCTCCCCTTGCTTTGCAGGCCTTGTCATGGCTATTTAGGGTGAGCAGTGAGGCCCACAATCGAGAGGGCAGCTCCTGAACAGGAGCAGCCAGCCCCAGTCACCCTTCCGCACGGGGACCAGCAGTGCATTTCGCCTGAGAGGGCTGTGGGAGCCGCAGTGGGCGGGGCCTGAGAGGTGTGCGGTGTGTTCTGAAGGAGCCCTGGAAGCCCCCCTGGGGACGGCTTCTCTCATACATACAGCGTGCTGCTTTCCTTTATGAGACCCTGGAATCTGGGCCTTTAGTCGGCTGAATAGAGAAAGAAGGAGGAAGAGTGCAAACAATCCCAGAGACCAGGCAGAGGCTGAGGATGCAGAGGATTCCAGCTGAGACTCCCCCAGCGGTCCCTGCTTTTCAGCTCCTTTCAGCCACCGTTTTTACCCACTCCTCCCCTAACTCACCCCTCTCAGAGGCTTCTGTGCTGTTTTGTTCCCTCACCACTCTGCACATTTTGCTCTTTTGTTTTTATTCTCCCCAGGCCTACCCCATTGCCCCCTACTGGTTTTCCTGATAGAAATCTCGCTCATGCATTTCCTTTTTGATTTCAATGGGTTATTTTGTCTCCCCTCTCTTTTTTTTGCCATCAGTCTTTCTTTTCTTTTTTTTTTTTTTTTGTAACTCGCCTTTCCTGCCTCTGGTCCCAGAGAGAACTGACCGCAGTCCCGCTGAGACAGGATGACACTGCCGCTAGCATTCCCAGTGCCAACCCTCCCCACATCTGTGCAGCTTTTGTCCCGTGGCAGTGGAGGATTTGGAATGGTCCGCTGGCAGCGTCAGGGAGACTAATGGGAAACCAGTCCCGGAGCGGGAAGCCGGGGAGGTGAAGGGAATAGCAAAGGAGCTTTAGACACACCGCTATCGGGAGCACGCTAAACCATGCATGTTATGAAAGGCAAATCATATGTAGTAGGAACACAGTGTGGATGATGAAGTCGCATCAGCAAGAGCTGAGGTGGCTGAGGGAAAAGTCTGCAGACTGAGTCCTGGGCCACAAAGGAGCAGTTTGCAATGCTTGACTCTCCCTGCAGCGGTCATGCTCTCATTTTGTAAGATCTGGGAGTTTTGCCTCTTTCTAGGTTCCCTGGACTTGGCCCGAATTCTGCTGCACAGGTCACTTCATAGACTTTTCTTTCCCTTAATTTTCAAACCATGTCTCCTACTAGAGTCTTTTGAATCCGTGTTTTTCAATTATGGATCTTGCCGTAAGAAAAATGTGATTTGGCCGAGATCCAAAATGCTTTTAAAATGTCACTCTCGTTAATTGATTAAAAAACTGTCATTCTATTCCAGGCACTGTTGAGAGAAACAAGTTACAGTAAGCATGACTGCTAGCATTTGTTACTTGAGATGTTAAGTGCATTAACACATTTAATTTTTACAGCTCCACACACTGTAAATTCCCCTATTTATATTGGACAGGTGGTGCGAACTGTAGTGTGGTGGTGTCTAATTGCTTGCCCAAACTCATACATATAGATATGATATGGTCTCTGCTGTTCACGTTTCTAATTGCAATGTGGAAAAATAACCACAAGGCAAAGTATCTACTGGTGTCAGTCCTAGGGTCCAGGGACAGCTGTCAGGTTCTGGAAGAACAGTGAGAACTTCAAGGAGAAGTTGCCCCAAAGCCCTGATTGAGATTTGACAGTTGTTTCTTGGCGTGGTCCGCCGCAGGCACCTGTGGGATGGAGTGTGGACATTTTACCAAACCCTTGGAGACACACAGCTAAGATTGCCTTTTATATTCAGGCAACAAAAGTGGTTCTCTGCTGACAGTTCAATGGTATTCCTCCCAATTCCTTAGAAAAGATAGCATAATATCCACAATTAGAATGTAGGTATATGTAAAATAAGCCACAAACCCAAATAGTACCTGTTGGTATCCCTGGAGGAATTCAGTCTTCTTCATTTTTTCTTGTATTTCTCCTTTCTTCTCCTTTACTATATTGGTGAGACTCAAATTACCTTTCTAAAGGTCTCAGGTGATATTTTTTATACATTTTCTGTTCTAGAGAACTTTTATAGCCTTTGTCAGTTATTTTTGTCTCCCTGGCTATGTCCTTCCCACCCCTGGGTCTTACAGCAAGGTCACTAAATAGGCTAAGCTACTGCTGATGCCCAGCTCTGAGTAGAGCAGTACAGAGGAACCCAGGAGGGAACACACAGCCTTGCATTCACACACAGCAGCGGCTGCTCCTCCTGTACCTTCCCCTGCAGCTGCATAGGGCTAACATGATACAAACGCTAGCCTTTGAAAGCAAGCTTGGAAAATGATTGGAAAATATGCTATCAGAAGCAGTTCCACGCTCCTACCTGGAATGGGCTGTCCACCACCCTTCTCTCTGCATTGGCCCTTGGCTTGCTGCTGCTCCAAGTGTTCTGTTTTGTGATTGTCTGTGTTGATGAGAGGAAAAGGAATCCTGGGGTTGATCAAGTCGGCAGTTCCAGAGTCATTCCCCAAGGCCTTGACCGGAACTTCTTTAGATATTGAGTGCAGTGTCTTGGTCTAGGGTCACCGCCTGGTCCTCTTAGCTCTGCCAGCTGCAGAGGATGAAGGGGGAGAAGGGGATCTGCGGACGGCACGGGCATACCCAGATCACACCCTGACTCCCAGGTGGCTGCAGTTGTGAATCTGATCAGAAAATGAGGACCGAGGTCTTTCTTTTCCTTGTTCCTGTTCCAAAACCCTGAAATTGTTGCTCTTTTACCTGATTTAAAATGCCAGGGCCCCTCCCATGTGTAGAACCTCAGACTCCACAGGTCCCTGGACACACCTCAGGGACAGCTCTGAGAGCACCCAGTGGTAGTTTGGAATTAGGAAAAGATGAAACAAAGTCTCTGATGCTTGCACAGCTGTGCAGCCGGTAGCCATGATCGGGGCACAGCTGTGTGCAAGGCTGGGCTCTCCTGCCCATGGAATTCCTCCCAGTACAAACAGATGACTTGAGTGTTCACTGAAGGTGACAAGAGCTCTTCAGAAGGACCACTGGACACTGTGAGCCTTCTGCTCCTCATCTTGTTGAGGGAGCTTTGTCAGCAAGTGGACATACCTGGAGTGCTTGGTCTTAAAGGACATACAATTGAGGCAAGTGGGCGGCAGTGGCTCTTGTACATCACTGTCTCTCACTGACTATTTCAGGGTTGTGACCTAGTAGGAGTGGCTGAATTATGCAGAGAATAGTATGCTCTTCCTCTCTAAACTTGATGCAGACACTACTGTGAGTGCATTATATGTACTGACTCTTAAAACCTCACAACAAGCCTGTGAGATAAATAGTACTAATCCAACTTTATAGTATAACAACCAGGGGTCTCAACAATGACGTGAATTTGCCCAAGATCCAACAGGTGGTAGAACTAGGATGGTGAACTCAGTGGGGCTCAAAGGGGCTCGTCTCCAGAAACCTCACTCCTTAACTACCCCCAAAGCATTTGTGTGTGTGTGTGTGTGTGTGTGTGCATGGTGGAGAGAGGATAGTCATTTGTGTTTAGGGTCACAGAACTGAGGAATAAGATCGAGTTAAATCTTTCCTAGAAAGTATATTCCACAGGATGCTCAGGTGATTTCCAGTAATTTAAGGAGACAAGCAATAACATTTGAAAGGCGAATTCATAGTGCAGGGTAGAACCAAACCTCCCCGGAGTTCTGAGAAGGGATCCATTCCTTCTGTCAAAGATGGTCTTTTTAAAGGATCTTGTCACCAGCTGGGCTTTAACGAATGGATTTAGGTGTGTGCTTAGGAAAGGGAAGGTTGTTCTACATGAGCCCCATCGGGGACCAGACTCTTATAGCTGGGGCAGACTGAGAAATACCTGCTAAATTGTTACCACTTTAGCTTATGTGAAGAAGTGAAATGGAATCTTGGCAACAAAGGAAGAAAGGATAGTTCCAAGGGAGAGACTGTGAACTTCATTAGCTACTTGGGAGCAAGCAGCCGAAATGGGGTATGGAAACTTGGAAATCTAGGCAATATAAGACCTTCTGTTTTCTTAGAACAGTTTCTGCAGGCTGATAACATTCCAGGCAGAGGCTGATTAGAAATTCTTATTTGTCAGATTGAGAGTGTCACCATGGGGGGTGGGGAGAAGGAGGGGGAGGAGAAGGAGAAAGAAGAGGAGGAGAAGGACAGAGCAGGAAAGAAAGGAAGGGGAGAGACAGAGAAAGAGAAAAATGGGAATGGATTTGCAAGAGAAGATTCTTCTGGGTCAAATGAACAGTAGATCTGAAAACAAGGCAAAGATGGTTTAGCTTCTGGATGGCCAGGAGGATGTTGAAGATCTCATAATTACAATCATCTCCTTGAGCAATGACTTTTTTGGTTAGAGTGTTTCTTTGCCTTCTCAATACATTATGCACAGTAAGTTAGTTTTCAATAGTAATGATCTCTACCAATACAGAGAGCAAATCTTAAGGATCATATTTCTAAAGACTAAGATGCCCAATGCCTACAACCATGTCTGGGCATTTCCAAGCACACTTATTCATTCATTCATTCATTCATTCATTCATTCAACTAAATAGTAAAGCACTTGCCTGGCATCAGGATCTATGCAAGGCACCAAGGAAGGACAGTGAGGGCAGAGCATAAACAAAACTTCTAGAGGTTTACTAGTATCTAGATGTAAAAAAAGAGAGAAGTCAACAGGTGCTGTAAAAAATAGTTTGAGATGTGTCATATTTGATAATGTGATTGTCTTGGATGGTACCAATTTAGATAATGATATTACTCATGTGAGGATGACAAATAGAATCATTATATAAAGAGAGGAGTCATGAAGGCAGGGTGTTTAAGGCGAAATGCAGAGTGGGGTCATAGTAGACTTATTGGGGGAGAGGGTCTCAGCCTGGATGGGGTAAGAAATTATAGGCAGGGAGGCAATGGTCTGAAGGTGGAGGAACAGACATTCTATGCAGTATTTCCAGAGTGAATGAATGAATTAGTAAACAGAGTATTGAGAAAAGGAAAACTTGTAGTATATTTCCATTCTTATCAGTTGCTACCTCTATAATTGTTTTATGTTGTTACATAACACTTCTTCCTTGTCTCAAAAGAGAAATTTTAACTTTACCCAAATTATTAAATAAAGTGTTAGGATGATTGGTACGTACTGTGCTTTGTGGTTTTCATGTTATGCTATGGAAAATCTTAATCTTACAACATCCAGCTAAAAAATGAGAAATGTAGCCCCCAAACCCCTTTCTCTTGGTTTTGGTCTATCTGGTTAGCCATTTCATTATTTTTCAGTTTTTCCATCCAAATTCATTTCATTTCCTCATTTTGGTTGAAAACTTCTTGACAGCAGAGACCAGATCATCCTTTGGATCTCCCATTCTGTATACATTTGCTCACAGAGATTGAGAAATGGATGATCCATAGGTAACCTTTTTACATTTTTATTTTATTTTATTATCCCTATTACCAGAATACTCTTTCTAAAATTACACTATATTAATTCTGTGACTAGATTTTTTGTTTATGGCTCATTTTGGAGCTTATTTTTAATGTGTAGCTTGTTTCTTATTTAGGACCTTCCGAGTTACTGGATATGGCGGACAGTGAAACGTGAGTGTTGCCTTTCATTGCATATCCTAGAATATTTCCCTCAGAACATTCTAGAAGGATCTAATCTATTCCGCATATTGAGTAATTTTAATTTCATTGATTAAAAAGTCCCCTTTTAACTGTATTTATAGTTCTGAGGGGCTAATCTGTTGAATGACAAATTGCACAATAAAAATTGACGATGAGTGTCACATGATTACATGTATGGTCGATGCTAGTCATGGGGTAGACGTCCCATAAGCAAGATCCTTTTACACCAGTGCATCTTGGACTGCTGAGAATTTTAAAGAAATACATTTGCTTTTATATATACCCACCACTGGAGAACATGGTGCTCAAAGGGTCCTCAGCCCTGGGATGGTTCCTAACCTGATAATGTTCGATTTCAACTTCCTTATTCCTCTGTCTACAACATAGTTATCTCTCCACCAACGCAAACAAGGAAAGGCCAAATAACTAACCCTGACAGCCATATGGGAACCGCTAGAGAATTTCAAGGAAATCTGAAAAGGGGTAAAATGATAAGTGAATGATAATTCCTCTGAATTCTCAGAGGAATGAGTCAGTGAGCAGCTAACAGGCTGTGGGCAGAAGGAGTAATGGGCAGAACAGAGGCCCCGTGGGGACACTGGGTACAGGAGACACTGGCCATTAGGCCGTAGAGCTGATCCACATAGAGCACCTTCCATTGTCATAGGTGCAAGTGGTTCCATCACTTATGCATCTTGGATCTGTGCACTACCCTGAGTGTCCTCCATGCTTTTCCCAAAGGGATGCACAGAGAATCACTTCAGTGTTTGAAGCACATCACTGTGTTTCACAGCACCCTTCAGTATATTGTAATTCAAGCAGTAGTAGTTTGGCTTAGTCAACCTTTCCTGAGGCTGGAGACAAACACAGTTCATGGATGAATAACTGAAGGTGTTCTTGGAATCTCCCTGACCTGTCTTCCCAGAATATACCCTTCAGTCTTGGGCTTAGCCACTTCCAGCTCAAGTGGCTGAGGAGCACCCCAGTCAGCAACAGGGGAGGACAGGTCCCCTTGCTGTCCCTACTACTTCCACCCGCACGCCTGTCCCCACCCCTCTATGGGTGGTCTCTCATCCCGTCTTTGATTTAGGGGTGAGACGGCACTGCACAAGGCTGCCTGCCAGCGGAACCGGGCCGTGTGCCAGCTTCTGGTGGATGCGGGAGCGTCTCTGAGAAAGACGGACACCAAGGTAACTGGCTGGGCGTACGCGAGCATCCTCCCCCGGCAAGATTACTGGCCCCACTGCCTTCACTTGTGTCTGCAGGACAGACATCCTTTCTATACTCATGGAAGTGCCTGGGGACCTGAAAAAAAGGAGGAAAAAATAGAGTGCTTCATTTAGTGAAACTGCAGTTTAAACATATAAGCACAAAGGGAACCACATAGAGCACTTGCCTGTGGTGCTTTATAAACCCCTGCACATGGGGCCTTGGGACCTTGGGGTTGTCTGCTGAACATGGCATGGTGTGCAGATGTGAGATCCAAAGCCCTAGGAGAAGTGTCCAGACCACGTTCAATGATGTTGGCATGGCGACTCAGAGGTCCCACTGGATTCCTCTTTCAGTACTAAATCCAGTGTGGTTTAAAAATCTGTGAGTTATGAGACTCTATATAAGGATGCCAGTGTGATTACCTATTGGCTTCTCAGATGGTGGGCCCTGGTTTCAAAATGGTTGCAGTCTTAAGTTTGCCGTAGTTATGTAGGTCTGTGTTTATCTTTTCTTTTTAAAAGTTTTTCCCCATTTGTTTCTTTGAATTAGTTCTTAAAAATTTAACCCTAAAATCCCACAGGGTGGGGATTACTAACCCTGACTATGCAAGAACGAAAACCTGAACAAAGTTGAGTTTCCCTTGGTCTTGCTCTTGTAACATTCAGCTCAGGGAGTGACTTGGTTTCCTGTGGGGACAGAACTCCCCATTGCCCTGCTGGATACATTGTGAAAACAAATTAACAAGATGGTTTTCATGTGCGGTTTGTATGATGGGTTTTGTTGCCACACAGTGATACTTAGGGCCAAGTGTGGCTTGAAGTATGTGATTTTCTTTGCAGCAAAAGTTACGTGAACGTGGATCCAAAGTGTGCAGATGTCTTAAGAAGGTAGTGAGGACAGAAGGTGTTAGTATGACACGCGTGCCGATCAGAAAGTACCCACAAGAAGAGGTCTGGGTTCAGGTGAATGGTGTAAGGAGAGATGTTACTGGGTTGCATAGGGGGTAATTCAATTTACAGAGTACACCCAGGAGAGAGGGTTGACAAAGAAAGAAGGAGTGGGAGTGTAGTGGGGCTGTCCTAGGACCAAGCCCTTGAGAGACAGAGATAGACAGGTAGCCAGGAGATATGGCATTTATACTGATGACCAACCCTTTAGAGGATGCTGATAAGCTCAGAGTTTTAAAGCACCCTGGGTGGACTCCAAGAGCCAACCACTCACTTAACCATGGAGACTTGCAGAGAAGAATTTTAATGTGTAGATGGGGCTTTCATTAAACCGGCTATGAGTAACAGGTTTAGAGCTAATGGCTGTGGCCATGACCCATCAGCATATAACTAGGAAGCCTAATCCATGATTGAAGTTCCATTAGACTTAAGTGACAAGAGTGCCTATGTGCAATTTTATACCTGGAAAGTCTTCAGCCTGTAGCACACATTGTAAAGCGGACCTCTCTGTCCTTCCTCAGCCACTTGTAATGCAGGGTTTCTCTGCTATCTGGATGTTCCTGTTCCTCCCTAGACCTGTCAAACACCCTTAAGCTGTAACCTGGTCTGTCAGCCTCCTGCATAACCAGCTGGGCATGTTACTGCGTGTAGGTGCTTGGGTATTGAACTTAATTGAGAAGCACACATGTCATAAGCAGGATCAGTCCAGACCATTTGGGGTAAGGCAGGCCTGGCTGGAGCCACTGAGAGAACAGCAGGACAGCTGCCCTCTTCCCACCAGAGGCTGTTCCTCTATTCAGCTCAGACAGGGAGAAGCAAAGGAGGGGACACAGGCACTAGAAGGAGCTACAAACTGGCAGGGGAGCAGGACACCTCTTTTATCTTTCTCTGTCTCCAAATCAAATAAATGGACTCAAGGTTCTTTGTGATTTCCATTTTGTCTCACGTAGGAGTGTACTTTTTGCAAATTGCAAATTACTTTATTTGTGTGTGTGTGTGTGTATATATATATAATGTATTCTCACACAGAAAGCCAGCAATATAGAAAACTACACACAAAAAAGCAAAAGTATCTGGAAATTTTACAACCTAGACCTAAATACTATTAAATATTTTTAATGATCATGTTTCACATGTAGACATGTCTGTTTTTTAAAAAACTAGGTGAAGTCATAGTTCATATGCTACTTCTCACATAAGTTTTCAATCAATATTATGTTCTAAAAAATCTTTCCATATGAAGTAATATAGCTACGCCTCATTTTTATTTAGGGTCTATCATTTTGTAACTTAATGCTTGGTTGAAGGTGAACATAATACTTACTCCTGGATCCTCTCAGAATTTTATGGATAGAAACAGTATCCCGGGAAATTTCTCTTACTAGAGAAAAGTTCCTTAAAACTCAACTCAGAGCCCTCCAACAAGACTACCACTTTGAATGTTTTGAAGCTGGGAATAACAGCTTCATTATTATTAAAGACAAGAGACTATCAAAACTGTAAAAAGTTGGATAAAAATTATTATAGGAACCTTAAGCTAGTGGTTAAATATGTTAAGTAACACCTACAAGCATTTATTTTTTTTATTTTAAAAATAAAAGGAGGAACACATTAACAGACAGACAACATTTTACAAAATAGCAAAAGAACAGTACAGACAATACGGAGTTACAAACAAAGTAGTAGGAAATTAACAATGCTTGTTGTGTTACATGCTGATACCTTCAAAGTGGTTTCTCATGAAAACAGATAGAGACATGCAATATTGAACAATCAAGGACTCATTGACAGTTTCTTTCAGCAAAGAAGTAGAAGACAGTAGAACTACCATGTTAACTATCCTGTATATACATACATACAAAATTTCTCCTTCGTTCCCTTGTCTTTTCCCACATCCCAGTTGCCCTTTACCCTTGAGTGCTTTCCTACAAGCATTTAAAAGAATAGGCATTCTCCCTTCTGTTGTTGATGACTTCTGTTCACTCATTTAACACATAACAAATGTACATTAAAGATGTATTTGTGTTTGTATGTACAGATGTGCAAAAAGATGTATAGGATAATTTAAAATGTTGATGTACAAGATTTAATGACAAAATTATAGTAAGTGGAAAAAGCTCATATAACTATGTAAACAAGGTATGGCTTCATTTTTATAGAAATAGTTATCTATAAGAGTTTTTTTTTTTTCCTTTTTCCTGGTACTGGGAATTGAACTCACAACCTTGAGCTTGCCTGGCAGTCACTGTGCCACTGAGCTAAATCCCCAGCCATAGTTATCTATAGAGATAAGAAGATAAAAATATTTACTAAGTAGAAGGCTAACAGTGATTTTCTTAGCTTACTGGGATGATAGGTAATTTTTATTTTCTTGTTCATACTTTTCTCCTTTCCCAATATTTCCTTAGTCAATCTCCATCACGCTGTATTTAGAAATTAATACATTTTTTGAAGTTCATGTAGTTAGTGATAAATTGGGGAGAATATAATAGAATGCTTGGAAACCAACAAAGGAAACCTTTCTGATTACTTGTGAATAACCCTTGCGCACTCTCTGGCAGTTGTTTCTCGGCGCTTAGTGTGATAGAAACCTAAGCTGGAAATCTGAATGCCTGTTTTCCTGTTTTGTGATGAAGTGTCTTCTCTCTCTCTTGCTCCTAAAAAGAATCTAGATTCTAAAACTCACTGTGCCATATTAGAAATTCTGGGCACTTCTGCTTTCAGAGATATAAACCCTACTTTTCTACAATGATAAACTCTCTAACTCACCAATCTCATATGTTTGCTGTCATGCTTATTATACAAATGGAAAAGATTTGAAAGTGTCTTATAAATGCTGGAACATCAAACACCAGAGTGGTGGTGGGGGGGTCCGTTATTAGTGAGTAGTCCTTGGACACCTCTGCTTCTGTGATAATAGGAATTGTACGTACAACAGCTCACTCCAAATATGTGTATCTCTTTCCTTGTCATTGTTGCCAACAGGGTAAAACACCGCAAGACAGAGCACAGCAGGCTGGGGACCTAGATTTGGCTGCCTACCTAGAAAGCCGCCAGAACTATAAGGGCATTGGCCATGAGGACCTGGAAACTGCTGTCTGACCCTGGTAGGTGGACAGAGTGGAAGTGAGCGAGCGTATCACCTGTGCCCTCCCGGCGACCGGGCAGCTCCTGAGGACAAAGCTGATGGAATCCATACGTCTGTCTCCTGCAAGAATCTCTGAGACCGTGCCGCCAGTTTTTAAGGGCTACCAAGATGTCCAACAACATGATAGCCCAGTGAGAAGGAGCCAGGCTACCTGGAGATTTGTGGAATACAAGTTCCACAAAATTTGATCCTTATTGCTTCCAGCAAGTAGCATGAACTTCTGTGTTCACCTGTATAATTTATTTTAAAGATTCCAAGGATGTTTGTATAAATGGCACTGCTCCCTCCTCCCCTACACGTCCATCTCTCTCCTTCCCCACACAGTTCTACTGTAATTACTCATCAACCTAAGTTTTATGATTTTCTCTCTTCTCTTTACATTGAGTCTGAAGACCACAAGATTGTCTGAAGGTCTTTTAAAACCCTCTGGATGTCCTGCAGAAATATAACTGTAAAACCATTTCCAAGACTAAAAAGACCAAGACCACTTGATGACTCTTTTGTTTCATTTTGTAGGAGCTGAGGAGTGCCACATGGCTAAAGTCAACCTGTGCATTCTATCTCTGAGGTCTCATGAGGTGGCACGGGAGCTGTCTGTGCTTGGAGGTACCTCGGAGAGGTCACCATTACCCAGGGTTGGCCCAGGCAGCCGGGCCGTTGCCAATAACCATGGAGGACGGTTCGGCTTGGGCTGCTTGTACAGCTCCGTACTGCCTATGTGTAGCCATCTTTGCCTTTTGCTGCAGTAGAGATGAGCAAAGGATTAGACAAAGACCCATAGATAGTTCTCAGAGCTGCTCGAGTTTGAGTGCTGTTTAAATTGCAGGGGACAAGCCTGTGTGGTAAGTGTGGTTACAGGAAATGGAGCACTTATGAGGTTTACTTCTAGTCTTGTTGAATGATAGTAGAAAGCTGCCTAATGGACTTGGAAAAAAAAAAAAGCAAAAGCAAAAGTAGCAACATATGTCAAGATGATACACTTGAGCAAGAAGCAGTCCTTGGACTTTTACACAGAGGCTAATAACCGTACACTCTTGGATACCATGGTGAGAGGGTCTCATTTTGGGTTTTCCTTCTAGATTTTTGGTTCCTCTTTATTTCAAAGACGCTCTGACCCAAGGACCAAGTCTTGTTTTATGAATCCCGCTGCCAGATCTCCAGAATGCCTGGCTCTTTCTAGGGGATGCTTCACCTATTACTTTTCAGGTCCTGAGGTCATATCTGATAACTCCATTTTCCATGTATGGGCAGCCTAATATATTCCTTTCTTGACTTTGTTTTCCCCTATCAGAAATTTCTCACTGCAAACCACTGTAAAAGTCTAACCAGCAGTCTCTTGTCTGCTAGTGGAATTGCCCTGTCTCATGCCATAGACCAGGTGGGACTCAGTGATAACTAAAATACCAGGAGGAAAAATATTTTTTTGTCCCAATATTTGAGCATAAGACAAAAATAAAAGTGGGTATTCAAGAGTTTTGTTTTTTGGATAAATCTGATGTTTCCTGAGCTTTCTTCCATTTTGCTCTTAGACACAGTAAAATCGTTTCCCTAGTGTTTCTGCATGTTACCGTAAGGGATCATTTCTCTACATTTAATTTAATGGCCCAATAGTGACATGTTGTTTATCTGAATCACATGTTGGTCACACATCATCATTTTAAAAGTGCAGATATGATACACTATGTTAAGTCAGAACAAGCTTTCAGGGATGAGGGTTTTATTACCACAGTCTCTCCATAGCCACTTCAGACTCAAATCATTGGCATAATCTCCAGCTGTGGGAGAAGGAGCTGGCTATGACTCATCTGTGGCCATATATCAGTTGCAGGACTGGAACTGTCTTTTGGATTTTACAGTGAGGGAAGGAGGGATTGCAGTAGATCATTTCCAGAAGCTGGGAAAAATACCGTCCAGGAGAATTGAATCACTGGGATTCTACTAGAAGTTTTTCAGCTGGTGGGACTGTCAAGGAAATATTGTGATGACAGAAATGTAATATCATCCTTAAGGCAGAGTGGAATCTGGCTTTGAATGGTGCCTCCCATCTTCTGGACTGAGCCAAATGTTCGGCCTAACAGCCAGTGACTGAACTGCCACTGCTGGCATGAGGGACTTTTCCTTAACTACCATGTGGCATTTCTGTCCAAATGCTTCAGAATAACACAAGAGAAAATGAGGGGAGAGGTGGCTATGGGCCACTGTATAACTACTAAAAGTGCCCTGGTGCATCTGAAAATGGTTTAAGAAAGAGGAGAAAGAAATTAGAGCCCCTACATTATTGATAGCAATATATGATCGATCTCTGTGGAATAGCAAACACCTGCAGGACTTCGGCTTTCCAGAAGGGAAGGAAGGAAGGAAGGAAGGAAGGAAGGAAGGAAGGAAGAGAGGGAGGGAGGACAGGACAGCCACATATTTAATGCCCTCAGCATCAAATCTACCTCCTGTAGCATTTTTAATTGGTTGCTAGGTGTGACAATACTGGGTTTTAGAAAGAGCCAAGGTTTGGGAGTTTCCATTTCAGTTTAGGTAGATTGTATCCTCTTTACTAGGCCATCAAGAAGTACAGAAGCCAGTGACCTGGTCCTGGTCAAAACCTCACATAACTTTAACAGACACTGACATATGTACCTACAGAAAAACCAGTTTTACAAAGCCTACTGGGACAGTGCAGCCTGAAGCAGCTGCCTTGCTGGTCCTCCTGTGCGTGGTCCGTCATATTGTGGCACTGCCTGCTTTGCCGACTCCATTTTTGGATCAAGCTAAGACGGGGATGGAAGATGAAGAGTTATTAAAAAACAACAGTCTATAAGCATAAAGGTATCCATATTTGCAACCTTATAATTTGCTGTTCCGCAGTTAACGAAATAGAACATAATCAGCGTGGATTTATCACAGCTGAGGACTCAGTAAAGAACAGAGAAGATTGATAAGCCGAGAAGGGACTAAACACAACTGGAAATTTTACTTGGATACTTCTGGTTATCTTTATAAAGGTGTGAGGACTGCAAACCAGAGCAAGTTCTGAAACAGACTGAGACTGGCAAAAGCAAGCTATGCAGTCTGTCACAACTGCCGGAAACCCTGAGACGCCATGCTGCTTATCTCTGTCCACAGTGGCTTTTGTGCAGATCGTCTGTGTTATGTGATAGTCAACAGGTAGTTCATTTTTCTGGGAGTAGCAAGAGACCTTCGGCCTAAAGAATTTCTGAAACTTACTAGAATTTCTGATACATACTAGAATCTTCATTACCTTAACGTCTTAGAAAATGCAGGACAGCCATTCCATTTCATTATGTTGTCAATTTATTAACAATATTCAGATTTTTTTTTTTAACTTGTGAAATGAGCACAGGCTTTTTTTTACAAAAGGATCTAATATCCCAGATGAATACCACATGCAACAGCACAACCTCCCTTTGCTCTGGTGTCTTTTCTCCATCTCCAGAGATAAATGCTATCAACACTAGTAAGCATGATTGCTCATATGTTGTGTCAGAATTACCCCATTCCTACACATGTGTGCATGTAGATATATACATACACATTCACACATTCATATATAGAAATGCATTTATTTGTATACATATAGGTGTATATATACTACATATACATTGCATAGGTTTAAAAAGCAAGACATTTTAAAAGCATGTTAATCATCTACATATGTATAGTTAACACCAGCAAAGATAGATGAAGTAACAGAATTTTCATTTGATTTTTGATTCCATCATCACTGAATTTCATTGTATCACTACCATTACACATTGTTAGAGCCTGTGTCAAAAAATCCATGACCAAGAGCTCTTGTCGTTAGGGCTACTGCCTTCCATGAAGCATAAAACCTACCTTGGCTGTAAGACTGGTCCAGCCTGCTTCTGGATCTCAAGTAGAGCTGTTTCCTCTGTGACTGTCACACCAGCCTGTAGGTTATCTAACGATAATTGATGAAGACAAGCTACTATTGGGAGGGGCCGTCACATGGGTACGGTCTGGAGTCTGAGCAGCCATCACTCATCTCTTGTTACGCTAATTTCTGGCCACAGTGACAGTTCTGCTCCTGGATGAAGCCTGCCAGTACTGTTAGTAATTGTGTCCTACAACTGCCAAAAATCTTCCTTGGCTATTATAATCATAATGAATCAAAATGACATTTCTCTCTGGGGCAAGTGTCCATATTGCCCAAAAGACGAGTGCATAGGCACTGATTTGGTCATCTTATGAGTGTATGACAAGCCTGATTCTGAGAAGTAATCTAGGAGGGTTAGCACATTTCTGTTCTAGTCACATGGGAGGTCACCATCATGGCTGATGTTTCCACATCCAGTGATATAAGCAGTGTACCTCCTTGACATTACCTGAAGGGTTGGTTCTATATGTGCAATACCCCTGAGGGCTTATGTGGATTTTAGACCATCTCTCCATAGTTTAATGAGGGAAAGAAAAGAAAGGAAAAGAAAACAAGAGAGAAAGAAAAGAAAAGAAAAGAAAAAAACAAAAAAAAAAAAACAAAAAGAAAAGAAAAGAAAAGAAAAGAAAAGAAAAGAAAGAAAAGAAAAGAAAGAAAAGGAAAAAGGAAAGAAAAGGAAAAACTAGTAGTGCTAGTGTCCTGGACAACTTACTCTCCCAAGACACTGAGAATCATTAAACTGGTCCCAAAAGAAAAGCAGAAAAATATAATTAATAGGTTATTAAAACAGATATTTTAGACTAGAAATTTGGATTTTGGGGAATGTCTTGATGATGGGTGAATTCCAGATGTGTATACATGCATGCAGCCATTGTGCATGCAGTCATACATCCATGAACTGATCATACTTGCATGCATATAATCATTTTTATACAATATTTATCACTTACTCTGATACAGACACCATGCTAAGGATATAACAATGAGTGCAATAGACAAAACTAATTTCACCAAACTGGCCATCAAGGAAGCATGACAAATTCTAATGAGACAAGGTCTCTGCATGAGAACCCCAGCATTCACTGGGAGTACAACTAAGGTGTTGTATTTGTCACTCATTGGCCAGCAATATTTTAGTTCTGTGAAAACAATTTCAACTAGGCAAGAAATGATATTTTGCATTTCTGTTTTGTTAGTACTGATCATGTCCTTAAGAATGTATTTGAAACTAAGACTTTAAGATGAGACTTTGAAGCACTGCTAGAGTAAGTTTTAAGACTCATTTATCATAGTTCTCCAGGACAAAACTAGGAATAATAAGCAGAATTTGCAACGGGCTTGGATTACATACAAAAAATGAAATATAAATTACTGAAGAGTGCAGTGGGGCTCCTTGTAGAGTCATAAACTTTCAGCTCCAGGGAGCTTTTAAACAGAGGATACATTTTTAGTGTGTTTTGATTAGGGACCTGTGATCTCCGGGGGCTGAAATTATAGCTGTTATTTTCTTTAAAATTTACTTTTAAAATTCCTTTGTTGAATTGCAGGATTTCATTTTTGAAATTCATCAAAACCTTGATTTTTTTAATCTTCAGAACATTATCTTATACATGAGAAGCTGTCAAATCTTTGAGGCTGTGGCCTTTACATACCATTTCCATTTAGTAATTTTAGAACCACCTAAGCATAAATTTGGAAGCTAGCAAAAAGAAGACACCCTGAGAGGTTAACTTCATTCAAAATAATTCTGCAAGCATTATGGATTTTGACAAATACTCAGACATTCTCAAGTCCTATTAGAAATATGTCTGTGTCCAATATGAAAAAGTGCCATGATTTGGTATTTACTAGAATTCAATACAGTCTAATATAACCATGGAAGAAATCTCTGCCTCGAAGATAAAGATCCATAGAAACCAAGCATGTGTACATGCAAAGCAAGCATGGGAAACTGTCTGGCTTCCGCTCTCAGCATGTGATACCAGGGAAGACCTAACCATGGAACTGGTAAAGCATTGACTCAGTTGTTCTCCTAGCTTCAAAAGTTCCAACATCTACAGCAAAATGGTATCTAAAACGAAGGCTTTGGTAGCAGCAGCTATTGATATCGTCGCGTTTCCCAGTCCTTTAGTGAAACATGCATATAGCTTGCAATATAAAATAGCTTAAACAACTAAAATCTATACTGTCTTTTAATAATGTCCATCATTTTAGTTGATATTTCAAAGCAGTTTTGACATTTTAAGACCTGCTAAATGAATTATCTGAATCTCAGAGCCCTGAATAAAACTTGTGCAAAGTCACATAGCAGGTGGTAAGACTGCAGTTAGAACTGAGACCTTTATTTTTTAATTTAATTTAATTATTTAATTTAATTTAATTTAATTTAATTTAATTTTGTTTTATTATTTTTTGAGACAGATCTTGCTATGTAGTTCAGGCTAGCCTTGAACCCATTATGGAGCCCAGGCTGGCCTCGAATTCATAGTAATCCTCCTGCTTCAGCCTTCCAAGTGTTGGGATTACAGACATGCGCCACTGTGCCTAGCCATTTTTTTTTGT